TCTATCTATCTATCTATCTATCTATCTATCTATCTATCTATCTATCTCTCTTTTAAGTAGCTTGGTGAAATAGATATATAGTTTTATAGATTACACAGTTTTAAAGATGGGATTTATTTCTTATGCGCTGTTACTGCCAAGCAGTGAAGTGAGAAATTATGACCAGCTCTTCAGCACGCGCCTGAGCACAGTAGAATAGAGTCAAAGGAAAAGGTTCCGAATGGCAAGAAAGTCCCCAAACCCTCGCCCTCCCGTCAGTGTGAAGAGAATTCTCTCAAAGTACAGACTTTTCAGTGCACGCCAACAGAACATATGAAGAGCATTCAAAATGTGGAAGAGGCACAAGGCATATTCATGCTTTTGGGCCAAGGTAGCTGGGCAGCCAGCCATGTCTGCCAGAGAACACATTTTCCATTTTAATCTTTTAAGCAGACTAAAAATTGTTCATTTGGTGGTGGTTTTTGATTTAACTATGGTGTCTGCTCAGGTGGATGCGTGCTCTAGGCCACGCCTGTGAGGTATGCCATTTAAAGGTAGGTCAATGTTTGAATACCCAAAAGTAGAAAAACCTGGAAACTGTGCCAGTTGTGAACCTCACTTTGGCTTGTCTCCATGCTCATGTATTTCTTGCTATGAATCATGACAAACAACTGACCTGATTGTTTTCAGCCTCTAAGTTAATTTGTTTGCAATTTAATTAAGTACCAGTAGGCACCTTTGCTTTCTCCCGTCTGAGAGGATGCTCTCAGATTCCTACTATAGAAATGGTAAAGCAATGTTTACAAGTTACATATTCCTTTCTATTTTTCTTTCTCCTTGAGAACAGGAATAATACTCAGTGCTTTTACTAATCACACATATATAGGCAATGGTGTAGACACACTCATTTAGAACTCTGCACAGTTGAGGATCTACAGGAGGGATCTGTGGGTAAGAGAGACTCAAAGGCAGAGCCCATGATAATACCACAGTGATTCCAATAATCTCTAGAAGAATGCCACCATCTAGGCCCGAGCAAGGATGCTCCAGACAGATCTCCCATGCCTAATGAACTACTCTTAGGTACTGAATCCATGGCAATTTAAGCACGTGCAGTAAAGATCCTTATTTCCTCTGCTCTGCAAACCAAAACCTCTAGCAAAAGCTATCATGGCAAACCCATTGTCAGGTCTACCCACCCACTTGATTGTTTTGCCCAATAGGTCTAAAATTGGCTCTGAAGCAGAGTTGGAGGATTATCTTAGCATCCTTGTTGAGCAAAGTGATCTTATCTGGAGTGAATGAAGCTTCTATAGCCACATCAGCAATGCTCTGTGACCTAAAAGACATAAATGGAAACAAATACACATTATTGCTTAACATACGTATGAACTTTACATGAAGTGCCCAGGGCCAGTATTGTTGAATTTTTCTTTCTGTTGTCTACAACTTGAGAGCAGTATTTTCTATTTGAAAGCAAAAGATGGCAGCAGGGGTGAATGGATGGTTGGTAACTGTGTAGCCTAAAGAATCTATCCATCCATCTATCTATCTATCTATCTATCTATCTATCTATCTATCTATCTATC